CGGCCATGCGAGCCGCTCCCGGGGAGGGTTGGTTTTGTCAGGGAGGGGGGCGGCTGTAGCCCCCGTGTTCGTACAAGCAACCAAAGCTCTGCTCAGACTGCGGCTGCTGACCCCCGACCCCCAACACCGCACTCGGAAGCGACAGTGCCTGACACAAAGGTAGCAGGGGGACGGGGGGACCTGTGTGTCCCCCCCCGGGGCCACCGCAGCTGTGCCCCTTGCCCTCGGCACGCACTTCAGCTGGGTTCTAGCATCATTACACTGAAAAAGCCCTCCGCCCTCACGGACTCGGCCCCAGAACGAGGGGAGCAGCGATCCTCCCGCCCCGCGGCTCACGAATCAGCGAGACGTCGTCGCCGCCGTGGTGCCTCCGAGCCAGGCTGAGCCCTGCCGCAGGGCACAGGGCCCTCACCTCCGTGCCTCCGCTGGCCACGTGGCCCTTAAAAAGTCCGGTAAGTGAGGAATTCCTTCAGCTTCCTGGGAATGGGGAGCGCGAGGACCTGGTACGTCGTCAGGAAGGTGCGGAGAGCTTTGCGACACAAGTGCTTGAGCGACGAGAGGACCCTGGGAGCACTCCAGAACTGGACATGGCCATCCCTGGTCCTGCAACGGGACCCAAACCAGCCGTGAGCACAGGGGTAGAGGGAGACTCGGGAAAGCTCAGTTACCCCCAGATCTCCCGAGCTTGCGGCAACCAGGCATTCCCCACGCCCCCAGGGAAGCCCAGAAGCTGCCGAGCAGACGCAGAGCTGCTGGAGGAGGGAGCAGCCCCGTCTTTCTCTCCCCTCCCCTCCCGCGTACACACCCCGTGGCAATGAAACCGCCGTGCGGGAAGTACATGCAGCACAGGCCGTTGGTCATGGGAGCAAACGCCACCGGAGACCGCAGCTCCAAGGCCCAGATCCTCAGGAGCCTAAGGAAAAAAGGAGGGGACACGATGCCAGGCCCACACCCACGCAGCGCCCGCGGCGAAGATAAAGCCTCTGGGTTCACCTGGACGCATGCAAACTCTGGAGGAGGATTTCCTTCCCGTGGGCTTAGAGCATCCCGGGAGTGTCACAAGGCGGCAGGAAGGCGGGAGGCACTGTCCCCTGCGGAGCCGAGCTGGGTGCAGACAGAGCCAGTGACCATGCGGAGGGGCACGGCGAGGGGGGCACAGCACGGGGCAGGGGGGGGACGCGGGCCCCAGGTCATCACCCCGAGGGGCAA